AGTCTGCCCTCCTTGTCCCCACATGGGTCCCACCTAGGCATGCTGGCTGGGTCAACAGCTTAAGATGGGAGAATCTGTCAACAAGATAGATTCTGTTAGCCTTCCGCTTCACTAATCATTGCAGTTTTCTTCAACTGGGGGAATTAACAAAAAAAAGTGCTCTGGTTAAAAGAGACGGAATTTGACATGGTGGCGGCATCATCACACTGTGCTGATGTTTTCTGTGGCTCAAGCTCAGTACAGGGCAACTGCGAAAGTGAATCTGTTAGAGCGTGCTGGGGTTTCTTACTCCAGTCCTCGAAATCTTCTGTCCTGCAACATTTAGATGCCTCCCTGCTTCTACACACGTGAATTAATTAAATGGACGGCTTATTACCAGAACTCTGCAGAACTAGAAGATGGTGGTGAGCCTGTTTGATTCAGGTGACTTGGAGAAGGGAGAGGTGGAAAACCTGCAGGATGATAGATCTTGAGGACAAAGTACAGTCAGTGCTAAATAGTCGTGATCAAAGAAGGACTGAGTTAGAATGGAATGAAGTGTAAACCAAAATAAAGCTGAGAATCTGTGGCAAAAAACCTGAAAGTGTTAGATCCCAGATGCTCTTCAGCCGGTCTAACTGAGTTTGAGCTTTTTCACATGGGAGAACGGACGGACATATCAGTCTGTTGTTAAAGTTGCCAAAAAGACTCGTGGAGAAACACATTCTCTAAGACAGACTGAATATAAATATCTGAAGCACTTTTTTTAAAATTGTATTTGTAATGTCATGTTTTCCTTCCACTTTACAATTACACAATACTTTATGTCAGTCTACCAGATAAAAAAAAACAAACAAAACAATAAAAACACAATTGAATTTATAGCTGGGCTTGGCAAAATGTGAAATACTCGAAGAGGTATGGATACATTTGCACATCACTGTAAAAGTTGGCCCGTTTGTTCCCGTTAATCGTCTAGGTGGGTCTCGCATATGGGAAATACAGAAGAAAGACGCTGGCATCACTGTCTGCATGCCGGGCTGCCATGGCTGGGTTGAAGCACCCAAGGTAACAAGGCACAACAAGGACTGAGACGAACAAACTTGCTCATATGCTCTTGCTGTGTGTTGCGGCCATCAGGAGTGCTGGCATTGAAAAAAAATAAATATATATATATATATATATATCCTGATTCAGATTTCTGAAGGGGAATTTTTTTCATCAAGTCAGCTAATGGTATTATATGTATCAACCTGAATCCTGTTTTTTTTTTCTTTACTGTGAATAAACATCCTTAACTTCACTATATCTACCTTAGTTCTTGACACCCGTGTATATTTTAAAGATAATAGGAAAAACATAAAGAACAAATAAAACCCACTCATTATCTGGCTAATCATTGGTTACAGAATGTGGCAGAACAGCGGTTGTTTGGTAAGAAATACATAAAATATACTCTATGTTTCATAAAAATTTAGAGTTATACATTCGCACTATAGTCTTTAAAATGATTTATTTTGCTGTTAATTCTGTTTTAATGACACAAGCACCAGAAAATGAAATCCATTCCAGTCTAACATAATCTTGTAAGTGGAGCTATGTTAATACCATTGTGCAGCCCATCGCCATCCTTTATCGCCTTATCCCACCTAGACATGGACAGACAGGGGGTTGGGGATGAGTCACAGTGTATTTGCACCTGATTTGGACATGAGTCCACCTCTGGAAAAGGTCAGCAGTGTTTAGAAAGGATGCACTGCCCACCAGGCAGCTGACTACCACAAAATATAGGGCCTTACTCTAATTTAAAACAACAATTCTCCTTGAAAGAAAAAGTGCAAACTGGAACTGAGAGGTGTAATCCCAGCCGAAGAGGATGAAATATGCAAAGAAAAAACAAACAATACAGACCCTAAAGGATACGCCTGGGGATGAGAACTGCTTTGAGACACCCCTGAGTCAGCTTGGTCAGTTGTCTTGGTTGTTGGTCCTGAGGAACACCTCTATTGGCTATTTTTCTTTTTTTTTTTTTACTTATTTATTAATCACTCATCAGCTACCCTATTTAACATGGCTGTTCCTTCACTAAGCAGAGAAGCTACTCTAGTTGATATAATGAAAAAATGAAGGACTTAATTGTTTGCATACAGACGTGCATCAATCTGGCATGCTGGCTGTTTGCTTCACCCTTGTACACCCAACAGTCCTCAATAATTCAGGGCTAAAGGGTGGAAGCCCCCAGCCTCACATTGGAGCTTTTAGTCATGGCAGTGTACCTCATTGCAAGTTCTCATGTCAGGATCTCTGTTTGTTAAGCCTCAGCCCTGTTGTTCATTGACCAGAGAGTGTTTTGCAGGAGTGTGCCAAGGCCCTGAACAGTCAGGGAAGAGGGTGGAGCAGCAACCAAGGATGGAGTCAAACATTCGGCAATAGGACAGAACCGTGGGAAATGTCTACGGACGGACAAGCGAACGCCCCTGATATCTAATCGGTCCCCGTACAGCATTCTGTCCTCATGTTCTTTTCCATCCCTGGCAAAAAAAACAAAACAAACAAAAAAAAAACCCTCTTTGACCTTTATCCGGGACTTACAGGGCATCTGCTTTTTTTTTTTTACAGTACAATGTTAGCAGGCACACAAGGCCACAGCTATGCCGAACGCCGGTAAGTCAGGAAACAGGGATCTCTGTGTTTGTAAAGGGCTCTTGGGAAACCCCTGCTGGGTTTCATCAATACTGTGGTAAAATCATGCCAAACACTACAATGTAAAAGAAAACAAAAAAACACATCATAAATTCAAATGACTCATTGAGTTTATAAATGAAACGAATTATGAAATGCATTCATTATTCTCATGAATTTTTCAGTAGCCCTCTGTGGAAATTTTAGTCAAGCTCCTTTAACTTAGAAGGCATGGTATTATGTAGACATATATACACACTTTTTTCATATATTTCTCTTCTTTTTTTTCTTTTTTGAGATAGAGGGATGGTTGTGGTTGTCCCTAGGGGTATCAATCGTGGAAAAAGTCCACACAGAATGAACCATGGTTGAATTTCTTAATGTTATAACTGCTGCACAGCGTGCCGGTAAGACGGCACAGTTTCGCACAGACCCATCGGTCTGGGGGTTGGGGGAAGGAACGAGGGGCAGCTAAATTACAAAGACAGTACTTTAAGATTTGATTTGGCTTTGTTTCAACGTGTCAGCTAGTTCCAGAGCAGTCACACAGGGTACATAAGGTTATCACCTCTGTTTAAGGGCACACAGTTGGTGAGGAGTGTACCGTTTAACGCTGTAGAAGTGAGCTATGTCAAAACAGAAAATATAAAATGTTCTCAGTCACCATAAATGTCGACAATAAAGTATGATGGCACATAAATATCTCAGATGTGTGTGTGTGTGTTTTATAGAAGTCTTTGCACCTATCATTTGATTACTAGAACTAAATAAATAACATTTTATAACAAAATAGGGAGGTTATACTTTCCAGTATTTGAAAGGGAATGGTGGAGGATTCTCTGAAGGCTGTCTTTGTACGGCACGCAAACATTTGCATCTTAAAATGCACTTATACCTTTTCACTCGTAATTAACTACCTAAAGGCTATCTAAAAAGTCTTTGGAATGCTTATAGCGCGTTTTGTAATAATTAAATTGGAAAATGTGCTTCTTTTCTACAACTTTTTATTTCTAAATGGTTTATTTAAGGTTTTTTTTTTTTGTGCTGATGCTTTGAGTCTCACAAGGCAATTTGTTACAGCTCCTTCCCACCAGAGGGCAGTCTACATTGTAGAAAAATTTTGTTTGTAAAACAGATTGAAGGCCAGTGTCTCATGAATTTAAAAGCATTTTGCATCTAAATTAAAATGAAAAAAAAGTACAGTTCACGTGAACAAATGAAACACAAAAAGGAAAAAAAAAATAAAACATACAACAAACACAATTTCAGAATTACATCTTGAAGTATCACCCATATTGTTTTTAAGCATATTTTTTTATTAATTGGCTAAGTACTTAGTAAACATTATTTGTTTCATATATTTCAGTGAGTTACAAAGAAAATGGCAGTAAATTTAGGGGTGTGCAAAGACCTGGCCCCTCTGAGACTCTCCTCCATCATTCCCATAAGGTTTTGCACCAGTCCCATGTCAGCGAGACACACAGTATGCCCTTCACAAATATCCACAGGTTGAGTCACCAACACAGTATAACACATAAACACATTTCATAATGAAACATTCATATGTTATCTACACACTCATTTAGAAGCCTCCTTTATCAGTATAGAGAGATTTATCTGAGACATATATATTTATATATATGTATTATATTTATCAAATAGTATACTGTAACATGTTCTCTCTGTACTATGTGTGTGTTGTTTTTTTGTTTTGTTTTTTTTTTCTCCAAAAATAATTCTTGAACATTTGTCTGTTGGGTTTTTGGTTGACAAAAAAATATGTCCTGGAAAACTGGAAAACTTTCAGATCATCGAAGAGTGATGAAGAGAGCCCGAGAACGCATGGAAAGATGCAACATCTGAGGAGAAACGAAATGCGTGCGCATCATTCTGTGTAAAAGGTGAGGATAGCATCACGGACAGGGCCTTCAGAGGGAGGATTCATACTGTAGAAGTTCATAGAGGAGTGGACCGTCCCTATACCTGATGCCCACCGCATTGGGGCTAATAAACTGCAGCACGTTTATGGTCCTGCGCAGTCGCCTATCAACAAAGTGTGCGTCCCAGGCTGGATAGCGTTTTCTGGGCATGTCTATTTTAATAAGCGGGCCCTCAGGCGGGATGGGCCGGCCTGCCGCGTCCACAGGTTCTGTAGACCTCACTTGGAAAACCGGAAGGCATGTGTCTGTCGCTGTTTCGTCTAACCCCATCTGTTCTCCTGCCGCGCCTCGTGTAGGGGTGGCCTGGGAGCCACGAGGCCCAGGCGTGGGAGCCATTGGCTCAGCTTCAGGTGGTAACGGGAGGCCCCATAGCAGCTCAGCACAGCAGGAGGAAGCCAACATCCTCATTCGGGGGCCCATGGGGTGTAGGACCCCGTAGTAGAGAATCATGCAGGCCACGCCTGAGGCAAAGCACAGGAAGACGCCACAGATGGCAAAAGAGGCATAGGCGTCAGTGGTGGCTGGGTCGCGGTATGCGTACCAAAGTGAGGTCAGGATGGCATTCTCCAGCAACACGACGGTGTAGTAGACCACCATTCTGTACCGCGTCCGGCCCTCGCGTACGTTGAACCAGCAGAAGACGTAGACCACGCCCACCACCATGTTGAACAGTACTTCTTCCCATTTGGACATGCAAAAGTCAGTGCCGCCATGGATGACCCAAAAAGCCATGGCGCACCAATGGAGCACCACAAAAATGCCAAAGTAGATGTGGAAAACTGAGGCAAAAAGGGCAAAGGAGAGCACCCGTGAAGAGATGGTGAAAAGGCGCCAGAACAGATGCACCAGGGCGCCTCGGTAACTCATGCTCTTCTTGTCGTCACGCGAGTCGCGGAGGAGCTTGTGGTAAGAGGCTAGCACCCAGGCCAACGACGTTAGGGAGGACATGGCAGAAAGACCTGAAAGACACACACACACGCACACACACACACACACACACACAGGTACACACACACACACACACAGCAGAGAGAAACCAGAGAATCACCAAATGCAAGAAGAGACGTACGTAAGGACAAATTATATTTGTTAAACATCATAAACTTAAAAAAAAAACCTATGTGTATCACTAAAAGGCGTATAGGTCTTTTAATTTTTAATCTTTAATTTTCAAATTAAAGATTTGCCGCTTTAGATTTTGAATCTTTGAAGTCTAAAACATAAATAAATCAAAATCCACTGCCTTTCAAACTGGATAAGTAATTTTAAAATGCATTTTTCCTTCCCATCTCCTTTGGTTTAATGTTCTTTCACATACTTTATTTATTTTTTTTATTTTATGACTACCAAAAAAATACACCTCCTGTGAACCTACAAGTCGGACACCCCCAGAATTTACAGTTTCAAACTGCATTGGTGGTTCTTCCACTCACAGAAGACAGATTTTATTTTAGCCAAAGCAATCCGTCACATCTGTGAAAGCACTGTTATTACAGAGATCATCACACATCATCCAGTCAACACAATCTCTATTTAGTGGACCAGTTCGGTTTTTCTGTGACATCTATAACGGTAAAGTCAGCAGAATGTCTGAGGAACAACCCTGTGAATGAAAAATGATAGAGGATTTTCTGCAGAGCAGCGACATAGAACATTACAGCAAATGTCATGAAGGCATAAGGCACCCAATCCACTACGGGCACCACATGCTATGATTGAGTTGCTTTTCTCTGGGAACAGTATCGAATGAGGAAACTCGAGTTGTAAAACCAGGTTCAATAACAACGGCGAGGAAAGTTGGAAACTGGATAGAACACAGCGTAATTAAAGAGGAACACAGAGGACACACATAATGATTTTTTTATTATTTTTTTGTCTTGGTTACAAAAGCATCACGACTCTAAATGGAAACTAAAACTTATATATCAAGTTTAAGAGTAATCATAAAAAAACACTTACACTGCAGCCACTCAGCCTTGTTGCTCTGGATCATGATGCAGAGCTGCAGCACCAACTGAGGGGCGCTCTCTAAGAAGGTCTCCAGCAGTCGCAGCATGTTGACATCAGCATACTCGTACATCATAGCCCAATAAAAGCGCCTCTGGTTCTCCTTCTGCCGGTGACTTTGTATCCCAAGATACATAGTGCGAATGTACCTGAAAAGAAAGAAAGGGTCTGAAATTAGGCTTCTGTGCTTTTAAACCACAAACACTTTCCAAAATTAATTGAGCGACACATGTGGTGTGATATACTTTCTGTGAGCACCTGTCTGAGTTTCACCAACTGTGGAAGGTTTTACGAGCAACAAGTTCAACATATAGTAGTCAAATTTGCGTATGTTAACAGGAATCATCGTAAAAAGGAGATGTAACAAAGAGGATTACTCCTTTTTGACAAAAATTTATGTTAATTATCACAAGATGCTCTTATGAAGAATTTTTAAAGGTAGAAAAAGAATAAAAATAAAAATGTCATTGGAAATACTTGAGAAAATAGGGAAAAATAAATAAAATAAACTGTATTTAATTTAAGTACACGCTTAAAATAATAATATAATTGACCTGAAAGTTATTACATATCACATATTTTCTAATGTCATGCAGGCCTATCAATGTGGTTTAAATAAAAACTTCTTTGTATTCTTCAAACAGAGATTGTTCAGACTGCTTTCTCGAGACTGTAAAAGACTGAAGCATAAATGGCTGAAGTTGGCCAGATATTTTAGAGCTACTTGTGCAATTAAGAAAAAAACAACAACAAGCTTAATTTCCCAGTTCTGTCTCGTGAATAAAAAGGCAAACCAGCAAATTAATTTTCTTTTTTTGTTCCACAATATTGTCATTTTAGAACAGCAGTGAGGAAAAAAAAACAAAAAAAACACTTAGAAGCTAATTAAAATCTCAGTCACATTCTTCCAGGATTCATAAACTTGTTTCAGGATTAACAGCCACCTTGTGTAATATCTATTTTACCACCTTCTGAAGTTTAATTGAGAGGTCATGAAGCAAAGTGCACACAGCTTATAGTATCACACTACTGGTGTAATTAAAATCCAACAATTTCTTCTTTTCATGTTAGAAGATAATCACAAACTTGTTGTGTGTGGCTAACAATCAGTCTAATGCACTTTGCGTGGTTAAAGCTAATTAAGATTATTATCCCTCTTTGGGTGTGGAGTAAACTTTAAATCAAAGGATTCAAAAAGCACCAGATTCAGTGAATAAAAATTTAAACAGAAATACAGCAGTATCACGACAAGCTCAATCCCCCACGTATCAAGCACATTTTTGAGCTTCTCAAAGACAGTGACAAAACTCTGGATGTGCAGAGAAAAATGAAAGTAAAATCAGAGTGACAGCTCTCATGCTTTGTAGTTATCTTAGCACTGACTTCAGCTAATGCACATTGGTTTGTAGCTGCAGGGTTTATCTGCCTGAACTGGTAGAGTAGCCAAATAAATCTAACTCTTGATGTGAAGGCAGTCAACCGATGACAATAGCAAGGACAGAAATAGACTAGAAAGCAGCAGTCCACCTTTAAATTGGGAGAGGATCTAAATTCTGCACCTAAAGGTGAGACACACGTTCTCCATGGGAACTAAAGGAAAGCCAAAATATTTATGAGTGGTTTAATTCTACACATCTTCAGATATTCGATTTCTATGAGATGAACAGTGTAGGACACCAAAGCGCTCTCTTCTTTTTTTTTTTTTCCTCTATCACAAAATATTTCTAGCATTTTCCTGCATAAATAGGAAACCTTTTCCATGTTTTTGGGGCAACCAGTTTCCAGAAATGTTAGTAATAAACACGTGAATCAATCAGCGGAGCCAAAACTTGTGCACACGGTAACATATCACAACATAAGCGGGGTACTAAAAGTGGGCATGAAATTCTTAAAGTTTTGCCTGCCAATGCAGGATATGCGACGAATGTCTTTGCTCCTCAATCGATATTCCAAATAAAGCCATTAAAAACGGATTGATGTTTCATATGCAATAAAATGTAGGAGCAATGTCCAGTCTCAGGAAAGCTGATACGATGAAGAAGTAGACAAGATGATGGAAGGAAAAAGGTTTTTTGGGGGGATCAATAGTTTCAGGCAATTTAAGATGCACCAATATGTTCAGAGGTGAAATCTGGCATTCCATGACGTTTTCAGACAGATTGGTAAATGTCAAATGGAACAAGAGAACTCCACTTCCCCCAGCAATGTCCTGCCATAAATAAGATCTTTGTTTATACCAAGGAGTTTCAGAGGCTTTTCCATGAACTCTCACTGCTCTGTTAGGTTTCCAGTTTAAACCAGTGTATCTTCACAACTTCCAAAGTTGCTTTAAAAAAAATCTATTCCGCAGCCATGTTTGTAGCTCTTTTAAGCAGATATGACTTACAGATTCTACATCAATGAAGGTCACTCTCTGTGGATCTACAAGGAAAAGCCAATTAGGAGTTAATTCCTTCTAATGACCTTCAGGATGTTTATTCTGGAAAAGTTTTGCACAGCCTGTAACCTTTCTTACTGAAAGATCGGACTATAACTTTATTAAAACGAGCTACTCCATGTTTCATGTGCTTTTTCATCTACCTTAAAATTAAACCGAGGAGGACTCTGGCTAGTTGTACAAGAGCCATATATGAAAACCGGCTTGATGTGAAACAGAATGTGTTGACACATTCAAACCTCGTGTTATTCATTTTTAAAAAAGAAACGGCTGGTTACGAGGTTCCCCTTTTACAGTATTCTTCTCTAATCATTAAAACCCAATTATTTCATGAAGAATATTTGATTTCCATTATAAGGGACTTTACTCACAAAGCAGGCAGCAAATTGCCTATGCCCTTGAAGGTTTTTTATATAAAGCACTGGTTTCATACAAAAATACAAAACTAAATAAAGGACAAGAATATAATTCATAAAAAATTCCTTGATGTGCAGCTTTACATCAGCTCTGTGTATTTGTACAGTCTGCACTTAACCTTGCAAAGTTACCCATCGACCTTATCAATCTGTGGATTCACATTAGTGTGGCTGGTTGAATGGGGCTCTATTTATTTTATTTTATTTCATTTCATTCCCCATTTTTTCTCAGCTTCAAGAAATTCTCATTTGGCTGATAACAGTTCACGTGGCTAGCGCTATTCAGCGAACTTCGGTGACAAAAAAAAAAAAAAAAATGTTTCAGGTTAGCAACTGGAAATAACTCACTTGACATACAGTCAGATCAGCCTTAGAGGAAACTTGCAGTGTTTTTAAAGTTAGTGCCCCAAATGACGGCATTGATTAGAGGATGCATGAATGAGGAGTTTTGGTGTAGTCTAGATCAGCAGTCTTCACAAATACCATCCGCTTAATGCACGGTTATGAAAACAGGTACACCATGCAACGAGGTTGCAAAAATCAAACAGTGATTACACGACTTTCCGTTTAATGACTGCACTTTTGTCATTGCTAATACCAGTGGCTCTTTTTACATCAGATTTATTGCATAGACATGAGTTTTTCAGATCCGTGTACACCCACTTAAACAAGTCGATTAAATTCATTTCAGTCTGCCAGCAGAATGTTTACCCCGAGGGCAATATGGGCTCAACACACACTCACAGAGCTAAATTTACATCCAGTCACTTTGAAATTACACTGCACACCACAGGATGTGATAGGCCGTGGTTTCTGATAAGCGCAACAATGAGATAATAAGACTAATGGAGTTTTATTTCCTTTTAGGAGAGCACAGACGTATGGAAAGGAAGTTGCCAACTTTGTGAAGACTGGTAGAATTAGACAGTCTCTCCATTTGTTTTTGATGTAAGTGTCTAGTTTTTTAAACCTGAGACATATATTAGAGGAACATATGTTTCCTGGAATTAAAAACAACAACAAGGATTTGGTGTGAGTTTTTTGTATCATAGCATATGCCTGATCCCGTGCACCTGGGTTGCTGCTCACTAATCATGGATGGTCAGGCTGAAAAAGTAACAAAATCTGTATATTGATTTGTCTACACTTTTAGACAGTGTAATAATAGGCATCAATGGTTGCAGTCCCCAAATCCCTTCTGACTAAAAACAACTCAAACACCCATTATACATCAACCAAGATACCTCTCGATGAATCCCAAGACTTTAGAGAAAATGTTCTGTGGACTGAACCAAACAACCTTAGAACTGCTGAGGTGTACCTCCCATTGTATGTGGCATAAAACCAAAACAGTATTTTATAAAAGAACTTCATACTGAACGGGTCAAACATGGTGGTCAAACACGGAGTTGTCTTCAACTGTGGTCAGTAGGTGTCTCTTTTTGATGTACAATTTCAAACCATTAATAGGTATTACTTTCTCACTGCTTTGAATCTGAGAAGACGACACCCAGGGTTTAATGATGAGCTGACATAAAAACAAAGTCACAACTATTTTTTTAAGTTGCTAAATGCTCGTTGATTAGTATTTTTGTGGTTTTCCTTGTTTTCTGAACCCAAAAATAATTGTTTGAAGTAGCAGTTCAGTAATCCAAATCTGCAATAGGTCCCTAGAATAAGGTCCAGAACAGAGACAGGTCTTGAAATAAATGGAAAAAGAGGAAGATACAAAGTCTTCACAAAGTAATGTACCAGTAAATACAATTATACTTGAAATTAGATTAATTTTAATTACATTAAGACAAATGGTTTAAGTACACGGATATGACATATTTTATTTCCTGGTATGATCAGGAAACAGTGCAAATATTTACTTAGCTTTTTTAATTTTTTTTGCAGATTTATGGTGTATTTTGTAATATGCAATAAATATGAAAGTTTATTCTAAATAAACAAATAAAATTAATAAAACTGACTGTCCTTTTTGGAGAAAAAATAATTGCTTGGATTAATGGAATAAACATACAAAACAATTGGCTGGTAGATTAATGAATAAATAGTTCCACATAGCAGTGTTAATGTGCCCATTTTGTGCCTGATAAAACACTATGCTTACAGGTTTTTGATTTCAAAACAAAGTAAATAAATAAATAAATAAAAGACCGGGATGGTTAAACATTTGCGTTTTTGGGGCCGTCAGAAAAATCTGAGCTCACTCCATCACATTTCAACACTGCGCCGCTTTTCTTAACAAGGATATCACACACATCCCGGGATTGTGATGCACACTGTTAAC